AATCCTTTACATTTTTTTGACGCAAACGTTTGTGTTATGCACATCTTCTGTTACTACTGATGGAATTCTGATGAATGATGTCCCCAAATGGGTTGTTGCATTATGCAAGTACATTGCCCCCTAATCTGAAGTGTAGCAAAGTAATTCAAACTCTGTGGCAGCTGGCCTGGACTTTGAAGCGATCCTGTTGAAACCAAAGAACACAAAAGAAGGCACTACACTGCCACTGATTGTGTCCCCACATGGTATGTGAGTATTTAGCTCAGTATTGTTTGCAGTACTTGGTGTATTAGTTCCTATGAGTGCTGAGGTGTTATACTCTGTTTTTAGGGGGACCCCACTCTGTCTTTGTTGCTGAATGGTTCCTGTCTTGTGCAGTCCTATGCAAAATGGGCTTTGCCATCCTGCTGGGTGAGTAGTTGGTGTCACGTCTCTATAGCTACATTGGACTGATTTTTAGCTTGTATTTGTTTACTGTTTATATTGGTTATAATTGGTCCGTGTAGAATTAATGTGTTTTTATAGAGCTATTTTGGTTTGGTCTATCTGCTTTGGACTGTAAGAAATTTAGGCTGATTTTTTTATGTGCCTCTGTATTTTGTAGTGAACTATCGAGGGTCTCTTGGATATGGCCAGGATAGCATCCTTTCCCTGCCTGGAAATGTTGGTGATCAGGATGTGAGAGATGTTCAGGTACTACTGGCTCATAATATCTTTATAAATGAAGAATAATAATCATTTGCTGGGTCTTAAACTGTTAGATGAGTGTCAAGGTTTTGATATGGCTGTGCATTTGCATTTTTCACACTTCTAGTTTATCATCAATAGATGGCACCATAATCATCATTAACTTTCAGGTAGTTCTTCAAGCTCCTAAGGACATAAGTTATGCTGACGTACCATAGTAATGGAGAGAGCAGGGTTGTGAGTGGTTCACCTCTGTTTTCTTTAGCATGCAGTGGAGAGCCTGATAAAACTTGGTGAGATCGATGAGCAGAAGGTGGCTGTTTCTGGGGGCTCCCACGGCGGCTTCCTGGCGTGTCACCTGATTGGCCAGTTTCCGGATTTTTACAAAGCCTGTGTATCTCGGAATCCAGTCATCAACCTGGCCTCCATGATTAGCAGCACTGAAATTCCAGACTGGTAATGAGGGGTCGTGTGGGTGTGTTTCACTGTGAAGCCTTATTAATGTGCTCTCACATGTTGCTGTTACTGTTATCCAAAAAGGTTACAAAAATGTGTTTATGACTTCCCTAATAATTGTGATAAACTACTAAATAAGGATAAATTGTGGACTGTGTCCAGTCATAACCAGTTTTACAGTGCTGAATTTCAGTCCATTAAATGGCATCCAGTGAAGTAAGAGCTGACATCTGCTGGAGAATGACCTCGAGGTGTATGCTGCAGGTGCATGGTGGAGGCTGGACTTGAGTACAGCACTGACACCCTGCCTGATCCCAAAGCCTATGAGCAGCTGCTGAGCAAGTCTCCCATCCGGCATGTTGAAAAGGTGAGCTCCCATCAAAGCCCCTTTAGGTTAGCGGTGTGAACCTCACATATAACCGTGTTACTGACAAACCTATGGTGAAATACTGCTTAAAAAGGTTAATTCTGAATAGCCTCATGGTTATTTCTGCAGCCCATTGTCACTAGAACCAGTAACACTGGCCTAAAATTAAGATTTCTCCAATGTTATCTTCTAAAAAGAGAAAAAAAATGTAGTAGTGCTGCATCTTTAGCTAGTTTGCCTTAATATCACATAAGCATTTTGGGGCTATTTAATAGCTTTAGGCAATACTAGAGGCATGGGTGTAATTTGTCCCCTATGATACATTCTATTCTGCTTTGTGTCTTGTAGCGATTTTTGGAAGCACAGCAGTGTTTTTACGTTTGGTATATCTAGACCATCAGTGAGGATGTCTCCATTCTTTGTTTATATTCCCCAGGTGAAAACACCAGTGTTACTCACTCTGGGAGAGGAAGACCAACGTGTCCCCTGTAAGCAGGGGATTGAGTATTACAAGGCACTGAAAGCTTTGCAAGTTCCTGTTCGGTAAGCAGGGCGTGCGGGGTGAGCCATTTTGGGGATCTTAATGTGAAAGCCATATGGCAATCATGAGTTACAGCTGTAATTTATCTGAGAAATTCCCTTTTATACAGTATACCAAATGAGTGTATATTAGGTTTCTGCTGTTACAGGCTACCTTTTTTGTACAGCATTATCTGGGTGACCCACCTACAGTATGTTGACCATGTGGCTGTCTTGTAACGCATTGATCTGCCATCTTTTTGATTGTTCTATAAGCATCCCAGCATACGAGTAATACCAGTTTTACGAAACAGATGGAAATTGGACACAAAGTAATCAGAAATATTTTTATGCTGTTGTAATCAACTTTTTTTGTTTTGAACTGGTAAGCAGTGAAACCATGTTTTAAATGCATGCTATCACTGTGCTTTTTTGTTTTAGGTTGCTAATGTATCCTGGAAATAATCACTCCCTCTCCAAAGTGGATGCTGAGTCAGATGGCTTCATGAATATTGCTCTTTGGATAATCCAGCACTTGTCCCTATCTGTACACTAGCTTTCATGATAGCTATCTTTTCCTGTATCTGAATAACTGATGTGTGTCTTAGTAAATCTCAGTTACTGACAAGACCATTTAATCCCAAAGACCCTTTCTGTAATTCTTGAGTTCTAATCAAGTCTGATCAAGATAATAATGAATAATAATTTTAATAATAATTCATATAGTACATAAGTAAGGTGTGCAGTTTTATTCCAGATTGCTTTGGGCACTTGAGTACCTAATGCCATTTGAATTAATAAATCAGAATAAAATTTAAAAATGTTATTTTAATAAGTATAATTTACACACAGGTTTGTTTCTGTCAGCTGTTGTGATGTTTTAATTGTGTATAATAGGAACAAAAGTATTATAGCATATACAGAACTGTGTTCATTCATTACTCCCCACATGCAGAAAACATGCAAACAACACACACAGGAGACAGCATAGCGAAGGTAACGAAAAGATTGATACTGACAGATAATATCTTCAAGCAATTATATACATTGTAATAATACTGTTACGGATTGGTGATCCGGCGAGCGGGTAAGCAGGCAAGTTCAGTCGTAAGTGCAGACAAACGGGGTTTATTTAGGGAACAGGCAGGACCGGGGAAGCACGACGACTAACATTACAATGACAGATCTGGGAAGGCTAACTCAGACGCGGACTAAATACACAGGACAAGCCAAGAGGAACAGGAAACAGGTGATGACAATCTGGAATTAACACGAGGTAACGAGGGGGGCGTGGCACACACGATCGGACGAGCTGGGCGTGACAAATAGTTTACATTCTTTGGTATTTTGGATATTTGTACTGGATTTACAATATTTTTCACGTGGAAGAAGGAGACATAGGGTGCTTTTCCATTACACCAGGTGCCATACTTGTGGTTCTTCAGAAAAGTACCAAAAGTGCAGTTCTTCAAGGTGTTGATTTTCCACTGGACTGGTACTGGTGCCGAATGACATCACAAGGGGTGGAGTATTTTGTGCTGAATTGGAAAAATGGCTGTGGTGTGCAATATTAATTCCAACATCGCATGTTATGCACATGTGATTCTTACATTGCTGGTCTGCTAGATTAAGATCAGGCTTTGTCATACCTTAAATTCTGTACAGACATTATAGTACAGGGGGTTTTAATTTTCTCTAAAGCATTTTTACTCTGTCATGGGAAAAACAAACTTAGCAAGTTGCAGTTTTTGTGATTATTCCTTTTCAAGTTTATCTATTATATGTTTAAAAATCAGCTTAAAGTTTACCTCTGCTGGTTTTGCATGACCCGTGCATGCGTTCTCTGAGACAATCATAATCATTTTGATTATTAATCATTTTTATACAAGTTACTTGTAGACAGATTTGTGAGAACTATTTTGAACTCCTTTTTTGCTTTATGAATATCTCAGTATTTATTATAACAACATGGCAATGTTTAAATTATTTCCAGTATCGTGCAGCCCTAGTAGATTATAGCAAGTACCTTATTTCCTGTCATGCCATCCAGATCATCTATTGGGTCTTCTGACCAGATGACAATTTAAAAAAAATAATATATATATTTTTTATATTATTATTATTATTATTATTTTACTTTGTTGATTGTTTTCTGAGTTTGTAAGTTTTTTGAACACTCCGGTTGTGTTGTGTTTCAGAG